GGCATAGGGCTTTGTAGGGCTGAAAGCCTGTATATTCTAGCAAAATGATAATCCGAAATTGTATTTTCTTTGCCATTTGGGCTGAAGCTTTATTAATGTATATCAAGTTGAAATTGTTATGTCTCATTGATTGTAAATCATTGAATCAGATTATTGGTTGATATGGAAAGCCTGTCATATGATACACATATGCTTTTGTTGTTCTTTATCACTCTTTGATTCTGTCATATTGATATGTATATGGCATAACATTATATTGTAACTGTTATTGAACTCACTAAGCGTCACCCGCTTATCCCTCTCAATGTTTAAACTATTGCAAGTGATAAGCATCCAGTATAGTCATGTACTGGTAGAAGATGTAGAATAGATAATATTATAGCTTTTGTATTTAGTGTATAAATTCCTGGGAAGTTATGTAATATATATAAAACTTTGTAAAAACTCGTTAGTCGGTTTGTATCCAGTCTATTGTAATAAAACCATATATGTAAAATATTTTTATGAATATGCATGTAGCATGTTTGGAGTAATATTGTAAAGTTTAGAAAGGGGTTCTTTCATGATTCCTATTTCTTCATTATTATGCTTGTTTAATACTTTTGTTCATGAGCTTGGTATTTGATGAGCAATTGTGAGTCTTTTTATTTTATTAAGTAATGGATCATTGAATTTGTATATAAAAAGAGATTTATGATGGTAGAAATCATCTCTATCTTATGGGTCATGACTCCTTTATGGATGTGTAAACATTGCCATCCTCTTGGAATTGGAAACTCCTTTATATTTAAGGCTAATCATTTTTCTTGAATCCAGTTTCTTTAATTGGATCCTTGACCTTGGTTAAAAAGTGTTATGGGATTCCCCAACCTCCATACTATCTTTGAGGAGTTTTGGTATATCATGCATCATGATTGCTAGTACCAATTTGGGTTGAATGATAAACTTATATATTGAATCCTAATGATAAACAAACAAGTATTCATGGTGGTGAATAGCCTTAGTTGGCCAATTCTCTCTCATATTTGAGCATCTCACCATCTTGCTTAATTGCAATCATTTTAGTTTCCTCAAGTCTTTTAGTTTTCAAAAAAATCACAACCCCCTCCTTTAGTTTAATTTTAGTTGTTTAGTCTTATTTCACTTGTTTCATTTGGATTGCTTAGCAAGTAAATACAACTATTACCCCGTGGATTCGATCCCTTTTTATTATGTTTTATTTGAAAGAAAAAGGGTGTAATTTGCTTGGTGGCTTGACATCCCACCAAGAAATAACATGTTTACTTGAATTCTTCATGAAAGATCTGCCCAAGAGTCATTAAGAATGATATTTACTAATGACATATGATCCTATAGGGTCACACCTTATAGCAAGTTACTACTTATTGATTATTTATTAAAATAATTTGATTATTAATAAAGATAATCAACAACTGTATTTAATTGGGAAGTTATTATTTATTGAAATAATATTTTCTAGAGAGAAAAACAACTAGTAAATCATAAATATGAGTTTATATGTTGTGTACATCTTTTTGGACCTATTGAATTTTGTTTATATAAAGTTATTTTATATATTAGAAGGTTAGACATGCTATTAATTAAGATAAAGTAAAACACACACCAAACATCATATCCATGGGATGTGGTCGTAGATCTCTTCTAAGGGGAATATATCGTGTGTTGTCTTTCCTCTTCTATCCTATGCTTCTTTCAAGGCCATGCTTTGACTTTGTTGGAAGGTATGGTCACTTTGTACTTATGTCTATGTGTATAAAGAAGAATAAAGACCAAAAACTAGCTAGTTTTTCTTCCTCTTCTTTCTCTCTAAAACTATGAGCTAGAGAACCTATCCCATTTCTCCATCTCTCTTGTAAAGTGTTGTGAGATTTTAAGTGTTCTAAGTTGCTTCTCCTTTAAGGATTATTTGGTATAAGTTATTTAAGGCTTAATAAGTACTTAATACAAGTGAAGAGTATCATATTTTGGTGGTTTACCCTTGTTCGGTGGATATTTTAGAGGAACCCTCATTTGTGTTCTTGCCATCTTCATCAACTTCCAACATCCCGAGAGGAATCAAAGTCTTCAAAGGCTGTAGTTCTTTTTCCTTCTATAGTTGTTTTAATATTTCTCAGTCTTACAAAATGATCATTAGTGGGTATAAAATGGTTTTATAGTTATTCATTTAAAAATTCGTCTGTTGCTTAACTCATATTTTTTATAGACTATTTTTGAATAAAACCCAATACTTCTGAACTCAACATTATTGATATAATTTTAATAGATGAGAAGGTAACAACTTGTAATATGTGAGTTTTCTCGCTTTTTTGCATTATTATAGTTTTATTCTTCTTTTGTTTTGTATGATAATTTCAGGGACATCGTATATCTAGCATAATTAAAAAGGCTATAATTCAGAAGTTTGAGGGATTTTCAAAGGAAGGAAGTGTGTATGATTTTTTTTTCAAATTTCTTTGTTAGTGATAACCTTTTATGTGGGTCCATTGAAGATCTTAAAGAAGGTAGGAAAGCAAACTTTCAATCTAGAATTACCTCCAGAGCTTCAAGGTATACATGGCACTTTCCATGTATGTTACTTAAAAAAGTATCATGGAAAGGAAGAACATGTCATTCCTATACAAGATCTAAAAATAAAAGCTCCCAATCGACTCGTTGAAGAACCTGAGGCTATACTTGAAACAAAGACTAAAGGTTAAGAAATAAGGATATATAATTGGTCCTTGTGAAATGAAATCATTCTTTAAGACCAAACATGACATGGGAGAAAAAAGAACATACCCATATCTAATGGACTATGATGTGATTTCAAGGAATGAATCCTCTTAAAGAGGTAGGAATTGTAAGGTCCATGAATTAGTTGTATTAAAAATAATTAGTAAAATGGTTATAATGTTTATTAAAAAGATTAGTTTAGCAAAAAAAAAAAGAGGTAATTTGGTCATTTGTATGAAATTTGAAGAACTAGTATTGTATAAATGTTGCAATATGTTATAATGCCTTTTATGATAAGTTATAAAGTTGCTTTGAGAAAAGCTATGAAATTGTGTATTTGAGTAAAATGGGAAAAATTTGGTGTTTTGGTATTTTTCATGTCTTAATGGTTTTAACTTTATAGGTACTAAGTCAAAAATGACTTGATAGAATCGTTAAGCTTGTTACCTTTGTGTACATATAAAGATCATGTTATTTGGGATTGAAATGAGAGAGATATAATTGTTTGTAGCTGGTACGAACTAAGGATGGAACATAATGTAGATTTGTATTATGCAATTTGCTGATCAGTAGTAGATGCAACGCGTCCATAAGACCAACGAGGAGCGTCAATGAAGAATTGACGTAAACGGTGTTGTACAATGTTATTTTTAGAAAGGGTAACATTGTCACATCCCCAATTTCACGGCCAGAAAAGACCAATTTGTTTATGCTTATTTAAAAATCAAAGTATCCTTTTTGAAGAATAATACTGCGGAATTTGTTCCCAGAAAACATGATAATGATGTTATCAAAGCATTTCCGAAGAAATGTATTTTATTTATATTACACGTTTGGGATGTCATCGTCAATACAAAAACATAAGCATAACGAAATATTACAAGCCTTACAATAATTAAACTAGTGGCTTAAAACTCCTTGAATCTCTCAGCAGAATGTATCTTTAATATCGCTACCTGTGATACAAATAAACTGAGTGGGTCAGGTTGGGAAACCTGGTGAGCACATAGGGTTTTCAACCCACAATAATATAATTATTATGCTTAATCATCAAACAATTAACCCAATTTCTCATCCCCACACTACTAGAAAAACAACATTTTACGACGCGCAATGCATGTCGTAAAACGCTCAGACGACGCGCAAATGCGTGTCAAGGAAGGCCATGTCATAGTGAGAGACGACACGCTTTTACGTGTCGTCTATAGACGACACACATTTACGACACACATTTATGACACGCATTTACGAAGCGCATTTACGACGCGCAATGCGTATCAAGGAAGCCCCTGTCATAAAGGAAGACAACACGCATTTGTGTGTCGTAACCTTACGACGCACGTTTAGGACATGCATTGCGTATCATTAAATCCCATGTCATAAATGAAGATGACACACATTTGCGTGTCATAAACTTCAGCAACCATTTACGATATACATTTACGACGCTTCTTTACGATACTCATTAAAAGTCTCATAATACAAAATAAAATACCATAAACAAGAAAGATAATTCATTGCACTAATATATCAAATACAAATAATCATTCCAATAGTAAGTAAATGTAAAACATTGCTAATATTGCATAATATTTATTATAGAAAAACAAAACATGTACAACATTAAAAGGAACCCATGAGTAAGTTCTCATTTGACAATCTCCATGGCAGCTTTAAGCCTTGCAACTTCACCACTTAAAGATGCATCAACTCATCCAGTGTCGACTCTTTTTCTACAAGTTTCCTGCACTTGGAGATATAAAATGAGTTATCTTGTTAACAAAAAAGTAAATTATGTTTTTTTTCAACTCAAATAAATTAAGTATGCTGCTATTTCTTGCATTTTAACCAAAAAAGGCCTAAATGCATAAAATAACAACTTATTTTGCAAGAAATAGCAAAGTACATTGCTATTTCCTGCACTTAGCCAATGTCTCCAATAGCAGAGGTGTCTGAAACTGTTGTTTTTGTGGTTTATAATATGGAAAGGGTGGAATATGAAAAGAAAATTTGTGTATTACATCAAACAAAAAGTTTCTACTTATAGTAATTGTTTTGTGAAATATCTAAAATGCCATTATAGAAAGAGTAGAAGAAAGAATCTTATGATCCAATGTCAAAACCCTTTGACTGAATAACGCTTTAAAGTATGTTAAATAAACCATACTTAACTCGAATAGAAACCCCGCCAACTTAATATTCAAATTTATATTAGTAAGATAATTTCCACATGCATGCTAATATGAATTATGAAATGTAAAATAGCTTTATAACATACCAAATTCATCAAGAGGGGCATCATAGTCATAACTTGTTGCAATAAATGGGCCACCTGCAGTTCGTCCAAAATTTGTTCCTCCATGATACTGCAAAATCAAAATACAACAAAAGAATTAATTTCAATGTGATATTATCAAGTAATGAAGAATTAAGAAATAATATTACAAGAAAAACACTATTATTTACCATATAGTAATTAATAAAAGATCCACTACTTTGAATAAATTCAGCAACTGAATATGCCAAATCTTCAGCTGGTCTATAAGGAACCGCACCTCCAAACTTAGTGAACCTATATTTTATATAAATTAAATCAACCAATAAAATTGCAAAAATAAAAAAATAAAAAATACAATCAGGTCGGGTCACTTACAAATGGATCAGGGGCATTATCTTGCTTGTACATGACCCATGGAACTCCGGTTCCTAGACCCACCTCCATAGAAGCCCATTTTGTATACTGGAAACCCCGTGTAGAATCTAAAAGGTCCTCCAGCTTTGAGTGTTTTCATGGCACAATCTAGAGATCCTGTATATAGGTATTTCCCTGTAGCATCAGGTTGCATCTTCTGTATTTGTATTTTCATAAAGTCAAAGGGTAAACTACATGCAGCAGCAAAGAACCTTGATATAGACCTTGCCCCTGAAATCATTCCCAAAATTAAAAAATCATTCAGTTCTAGTTTAGTAGTTTTATTACAGTTTTATGGTTTTGTGATTTGATCTTACCTATAATTGTAGCTGCTTCACAAAACCAAGATTGTCTTTGAAGAACTCAACACTTTCATCATAGGAAGCAAGCATGCCCATGTTCAATGCCATTGCCCTAACCACAATGGGACCAACACCTTTCTAGAGAGCTAAAACTCCTTCATCTGCAGTGATTCTGTAGAGGGCATGGAATGTGTTTGTGTAGTTACTACGTTGGGCTGGCATCAACTTGCATACAGATGAGTGCCAGCTCAGCAGGGCTTCCTACACAGGCTCCGATTGCACCAACTGTCAGCCCGCAGAGAGATTTTTGATATAAAGTTAGTGGCTTTCCATCGTTGGCTTCAAGTGCCTTGTTTGTCAGAATCCTATCAAGTAATTAAAGAGTCACATAAACAACCAAAAACAATAAATCTGTGTTTTTTTGGTTAATGAACCATTAATGGTGTACCTGAATGTACCAAGTCTGGCTGTTGTGTATGTAGCTTGTCTAAGTAATCCATCAGAAAGAACCTGTTCAAAACAAATTTCTTCACATATCAGTAGAAATAATGATGAATGTAGTACTAAGGTATGATAAAGAAATGAGAATTAGGGAAGGGGTTATGAAGAATCAGAGTAAGGGTAGAGAATTGTTTCGTATATCCAACGTGTAGGTTGTCAAGGTTTAAGAAAAATTAAAAAATAATAATAATAAACATGAGAAGGAAGGGTAGAGAATTGAAAGGATATCTTCTATTGGAGCCATCAATTACTAGCAAATCTCTGACTTGTTCATTGTATATTTCAATCATTTGAACTCCAACCTCATACTTTATTACATCCATCTTTGCCTCTATTAATTCAAACAGATCTCGTAGGGCTCTGTAGTTGACACCCCATGTATCCTCTGTTGTCATGTCAATGTCAGGGCTATCCTACACAATAAACATGATATATATATATATATATATATATATATATATATATATATATGAATCCAAAACTTGAAAAACTAATAAATCAATTGTTTTCTAATTCTCACCATTGCAACACAGAGAACCCAATTCTTGTGCCCTGAATAGATATGTAAAAATATAACAATTTGTTTGGCTTTTTTGATTATGAATTTATGATAACAACCATCATATTCACTACATGGAACTTGGCTCTAGTGAAACTGTATACCACTTACGACTGTGAACTGAAAGAGCAGAATTTGTAACTGCAAATTGAGTAGAAAGAATAACAGATAGTTTATGAACCAAAATTGTGTTTACAAACCACAGAAGCAGTATAAGAAGAAGAAATTAGAATCAAATTGTACCTAAGTGTTAAGCAGTGAGTCACTGACCGGAAAAACCTCCTGAACGGGCTACCAACGCCGTGAGATGATAGAATCGACAGATGACGTGATTCTCTCATCTGTATGAACTCAAAAAGAAACAAACATTACCTCTGTTTTACATTTTCGAAACCCAACATTGTGGATTCGTCATTGGAGCAATTGAAGTGCACATACACATCTTTTATGAAAAAACCCTAAGTCGTCGGTGTCTTAGTCGATAACTTGTACCAAAAAACCCTAAATCGCTATAAGAGAGGAGTAAGGCCTGAATCGCTTTCATTGAGATGGGATATCTTGAAGCGGAGATGTATAGCAGTCCGATAGGGCGGGGATACTTTACTCATGCGGCACAACTGGACGAATCAAGGGTGTCGAGCTAACCCATAGGAAATCGATTGAAGTTCCTGACTCGAACCTTGTAGTTTCTGTCAAAAAACACACAAAAGTATTGGGCTAACAATATACATATAATTGATGGTCGCCATTTTGTGATCTTCAGGAATGAACGCGAGTTTTTAAGAAAAAAATTGTAGAATGGTTATATGAGTTGTCGAGGTGTATAACAGAGATGGTATCGTGATTAGGGTTTGCAGAAAAGGGAAGAAGAGAACGAAGGGAGATCTTGAAGCGGGGTATTTAAAAATTTTAGAATTTTAAGAGAATTTCGTTTCCCCCTTTTAAGAAACGCGCGTTTTGAGTAAAAAATCATAAAGCGACACTGAGAGAGGACGTACATTTTAGATAAAGTTCCCTCCGTGTTTTTAATTTTTTTACATGAGACACTAATTTAAGGGCACGCAATAATGCGTGACCTAAATCCTTAATTTTTTTGAAGAGATGACACTTTTTTTAATGTCACCCTCTTTTGTGTAACATAAATCAATGAGTGTCGTGGTTTGCGCGTTGTAAAAGGGTCTTTTTCTTGTAGTGCCATTATCTTCTTTATCCTTAGGGTTCTACCCTAAGAATCATCTATTCTTCATTTATTTATTCCTATGGATTGTCCTAAGGAATAGGCACGAAGTCCATCGTTGCCAGGGTTTATCTAACATGCACTAAGTCATAGCTGCCGATGTTATCTATTAGGCACAACTGCCAATGTTATCTATTAGAAACTAAGTCCATAGCTACAAATGTTCATTTACAAGGCACTAAGTCCATAGCTGCCAGGGTTTTTAGAGTACATTTGGTGAACACGTAGTTCAAAAACACCTACAGGTTGTGAGCCTGCTACCGTTCCACGGGACTGTCTAGAATAGTCCGTGGTTGTCATCTATACTCTGCTAGATGACTGGATCAGCTTTAAAGTTAAGGCTTCTCATCATCTTTCACCTCTCAACATCTATATCATCTTTCATCTCTCATCATCCATATCATCTTTTATCTACCCATATTTACCCAATATATTTATAGGTATAAAAAGACATATACAGTTTAAATCAAGTAAAACATGTATAAATCTTTCATCTAGCATAGATATAAGGAACACAAATAATAAGCACATATAGAATGTATTAATATTAAATACTTCATATTTATGTGTGAGATGAAGTAACTATGCACTCACTTGTTAAAGTGATGATTCGAAATTCGGACAGCGTTTCGCTTCTAGCAATTATCTTTTTCTTTGACATAACCTAGTATCATTATCACTAGGTCTTAGTCTTATATTTAATGCAACTAATTATTAATCTAGATTCATCATTAATTCAAAGTCTACTTCAAGATCTATCAAGTAAGGATCAACCAGGTAGAACACTTGGGAGGCAGGACCATTTCGGCGTATAGCCTTTCTGAAATCCAACAGTCAATCCAACGTGACCGTTTTAGACACCTCTCCCGTAAGTAGATCAATCAGTATAACGACTTGGTATCACTGATAAATCTTGTTTATAGGTTCATAATAACGATAATGAACTTAAACATAAGTTATACTTAAAGTACGGTAAGCATAACTTAACTTACAGGTGGTTTAACGAGAAACCGGACTCTGCGCTGGCAAAACTTCTAAACTAAAAGCTCTATTCATCGGGGCTTTCTGACGCTCCGGGGCTTCGCTACTAACACCTAGGAAGTGCTAGAGAAAAGGTCTTAGGACCTTGGGGGGTTTGGGAGAGAGTTTGATTAATAGGTGTGATGAAATGGGTGAATTTCGGCTCTATTTATAGGCTGTCCAGGGGCTTTTCATGTCATGACACATGACCCTCACGTCGTGAGCTTGCGTAGGCATCAAGGCTTCGCCTGGCGCTGACACGTGGTGCAGGACGCATGTAAAACAACTAATCTTAAAAAATTCATAACTTTCGTATACGAGCTCTATTTTTGACGTTATTTATATCCACATGTAGGTATTGACAAGATCTAGAACTTTACTTTTAATCCCATTGGCTAATTCTCGACCGATTCTAAATTTAATAGTCTGAGAAGATTACAGTGTTAACGACCGTATAAAATTCATAACTTCTACATACAGACTCCGTTTTCAACTGTCTTTTTATCGTTGAAATCCTATTAAGGAGATATCCAATTCTCATTTAGATCATTTTGCCTAAAAATTGACCGATTTAAAATTCGATTTTTGAGCCGTATATTGCTACGCTGAAACTTCAAAAAATCATAACTTCCTCTTATGAAGTCATATTTAGACGTTCTCTATATGCACACTCTCGGTTTAACGTCTACTACGAATTTCATTTAGATTGTTAAGGCTATAATGTATTTTGTCAAAAATTTACTTTTTACGATGCGCGGAGCCATGCCGATTTAATCGATAAACTTCAACGAGTCATAACTTGTTCATTATAAGTCTGATTTCAGTGTTCTTTATATGTACGGAATCATTGTGACATATAATATAACTTTGGTTAAGATTATTTATCATAAATTGTAACACTCAAAAATTTGAAGAGGAACTTTGGGTTTAAATCACCTTTTGACGATTGGACACGGCGTGTTGGAGGCACCAACACGACATGTCCAGATAAGAAAAGATGTGGGTTTCATTCTGAGACGCACGACGTGTTTCCTCTTGGAACACGGCGTGTTGATGGCTGGAATGAAACCCGAATCTTCCGGGTTTTTCTCCCTATTTAAAGGAATGAGATGGTTAGGGTTTGTTCACCCTTAGCCCCCATCGGCCCCTCAAGACCTGAAAGAAACCCTAATCATCTTCCCTCCCATTTTGGAGATAGTTTGGTGTTTTTGAAGTTAAAGAAGGAAGAAGGTGGAAGAAGGAAGCAAAGATCTAGCATGCAAGCCCCCATTCTTTAGTTTGACACTCTTCTGGACCTTTGTAAGTGTCCAAGACTCGATTTTTATCATTCAAAATTGTTAGATCTTGGGTTTTTTCCTTTTTGCTTCTTGTTCTTGAATGTTGGAATGGTTAGATCTAATAAAGTTTGCAACTTTATGAATCTTTAGGTCAAGGTGACCTAATAGTGTCTTGGATCTGGTCTTTAATCAAGTTTTGATGCCATGTATAGAGATTTGGTCATAAATCCTCATTTTAACCTAATATGGGTTCAAGACATGCATTGGAAATGTATGTCTAAAAGGCACCAACCTTTGGGATGGTTTTAGTGTTAGAATCACTTCTAGAAAGAATGGATTTTGGACTTTAAGGATTAAGTGCTTTTTGGTTAATCCTTTGCATTTTAAGCGTTATGGATTGGGTGTTGGACCTTTTTGGGTAAGTCCCAATGGATAAAGTTGGAAACTTTATCCTTATGGATCACATTTCAGACTGGATCTGAGATTTGGAGCTCTTGGAATCAAGGAAAACGGCTTAACGTATTAAGCTGTTAGATCTTCGGCAAACACGATGTGTTTCTAATTTAACACAACGTGTTGGTCGGGATTTTCCCAACTGTTTGGGTGCAGGCGGAACAGGGCGTGTTCTAAGTCAACACGGCGTGTTGGGTCAACATGGACTGTTGACCTTGACCGTTGACTTTGACAAGTTAGACCTTTAGGGTAATTTAAGATTTTGATGGAATTGGTCACTTGGTGGAAACATGTATCGGTTAGAGAGTTGAGATTCGGAGTCGGCCCTCATCAGTTCGGTTCACTCTACGAGGTGAGTTTCCTCACTGTACTTACGGGTCGAAGGCACCAAGGCCATCCCATTGGTTTGATAACATGATATTTGCTTATACGCTGAGTATGGAATAGATATGCATGATTATGCTAGTTATTAATATGCTAGTCTGGTAGATCAGGTAGGAGTACCTATTCTTCTGTCTACATGATTATCTGTATATGTTGTTATTTGTAGACATATTGTGTTGGGCTGAGGTTGTACTTCTTCGTGATGTAGCCAACAAACCCTAGAGCATTCTAGATATGAGCTGAGAGCCGGGTGGGGGATGCCAGACTCATACTGAGGACTCAGGTGCATTCCAGATACGAGCTGAGGACCGTGTGGTATGCCAGACTCGTACTGAGGGCTTGAGAGTATTCCAGTCCGATGACTGATTGGGTCAGAGAGCAAGCCAGACATAAGTTGTGGGCCCCGGGGAAAGCCAGACTTATGCTGTGGGCTCAGGAGCAAGTCACATATGAGCTGTAGGCCCGATAGGCAAGCCATACTCATACTGTGGGCTCATGGGTAATCCAGTCTTTTAGCTGTGGACCTAGTACATGCTGTTATTTGAATATGTTATTTGTTCGTGTGTTGGTATTTTGGGGGAACTCACTAAGCTTCGTGCTTATAGTTTTAGTTTATTGTTTCAGGTGGTTCAGATCATTGTGGCGAGGAGGCGAAGGCGTGACCGTACACATCCTTGGTTTTTCTACCGATTGGATCTTGGGAGACTCTGACTTTAAATAATGTTTTGGAAACAATGGTTTCGTACTACTTCTATTAGACAAAAGGGTTGTTTTTGAAAAGTTTTAAATTTGTTGAATTTTTGGGATGTTACATAAATAATATTCTATCAAAAAGTCATTTTAAACGCTTATTATCTCTAAACTGACTAGCCCGAATCTGCGGGCGTTACAAACATACTTTGGAAAATCGTAATGCATCGAAAGAAGACATACAACGTGTTGAAAGTACGTTACAAGGAAGATGACATCATTAAGTAAAACACGATGCGTCAAGTCTGTAGATGCTGCACATCTTCACGTCAGACTATAACATATTAATATCTGTAAAGTCAGTCATTTGGTCATTACCCTCAAGTCTTGCCAATTCCAGAAGTTATTCATAGGAAAATTCAAGGTGCCAATAGATCCAACAAGCTTCAAGTTATCCTCTGTCCTCTTTACATGATCACTAAGGTTGTTTATGGTAGAATTCAATAGTATATATCGAATTGGATTGTTATGCCTTGAAAGTTTGTTTTGTGTAATTAAAAACATTAGGGTTTGAAGAGATGAAACCCTAATTTGGTGAATTTGTTGTGAAATTGAAAAGTGAGATTATGACTTAATTAATTAAGCCATTTAGATGAGAAACATGTGAAGTATAATTAGTTTTGTTGATAAAACTTGTATTTGAAAGTTAGATGATCACATAAGTAATTATATAAGGATAGGAGGAAAAATCAAGGTCTTAATGGAATAAGTCATACTAATTAGAGTTTATACACGCCTCCGAATTGGAATTGAAGGCATTCTCACCCAAAGGAACATGTGAAGGATAAGGGAATTGGTTAGTCTTCACTAACCAGTAAAGGTAAGTACATATTGAAAATTCATGAGTACATAGCAAAATATGTGAAAAATGCTTGTATACTTGATTAATTGCTAGATAGGTGAAAAGTTATTAGATTGCATAATTTTATTAATATTATTTGTAGTTGTTTGGTTTTTGATTTAACCATAACCATATACATTCGGCTAATCGAAATTAGAAATCGCACCACCTCTTTTAGTAATGATTCAGTTTTATCGGTTAATTCAGTTTTTGTTCGGTTTTTTCAGTTAATAATAATATGCTCACCCCTAGTTACAATGGAACAAAGATTTATACATTATAAATTTTGATATATAATGTTTGTTTATAAAAAAAAAATTTATAACTAAGCCCTACAAATAAGTAAAATAAAAACAAAAAACATATAGTGGTCGTAATAGACTTTTTTTTTTTTTTTTTTTTTTTTTTTTTTTTTTTTTGTAAATGCGAGCTTTTTTTAACCTTGAAAACGGGCAACAAAAGGTACTAGTGAGCTCGATTGATTTTTTTTGGAAGTACAGGTGAGATTTTAGAACAAAAAATAATAAATAATACAGATGGTTAAACTAGATATTGGCCAAATGATAATGAAGTTTATATTATTATCCTTTATTTTGACAAAATTACAAAAATGGTCCCTGTGGTTTGCCAAAAGTCATAAAGTCAGTCCCTGCTAATATTTTTTGATGTAAATGGTCCTTGTGGTATGCAAAACTTGCAAAGATGGCTCTTTTTACTAACACCATTAGTATTGAGCCGTTAGGGACTGAATCTGTAAGGGCATTTTCGTCTTTTCAAGTATAAAGGGACTAAATTCGTGACATTTGATAAACCACAGGGACCATTTTCGAAATTTGTTTGAAAAAGTGAAATAATTAGCTTAAAGAAGAAGGGGACAAGGCTCGAACTCAAAACCTCCACAAGCTCAAACTCGAGACCTCCACCCCCTTATATCATTAGAGCCCTTACCAATTGAGCTGGAAGCTCATTTAATTATATCTTCCAAAAACTATTTTATATAATAACGAAAACGTTAATACCTAAATAATAAATAAATTACAAAAAACAATTTTTTTATATACTTTTTTTTAAATAAAGCAAAATGTATTTTAGCCGTATTATTAAAAAAATAGTTTTTTACAAACAATTTGTATGTATTTTTATGTATTTATTTTACGTAAAATATATTTTTTTATGTCTCTAAAAAATACGTTTTCGTATAAAAATATGGTTTCGTAAAAAAACAAAAACTCCATGTCTTTGAAATAATAATAATTAACACTACTCATGACATAAAAAAATGTATAAATTCTTTTGGGTCGCTAGTTTAAAACTGTTTTTTTCGGTTAGATGTATTAAAAACAACATAACAACGATTTTGTTATGTATCTAAAAAATTTATACGGTTTTTTTTATGTCAAAAGTAGTATTAATTATCGTTATTTCAAAAAGATATATCATTATTTCTTTCGTATTTTAATCGCAAGTTCAAAATCGTATTGATAAAATGAAGAAGAAAAGAAATAATGATATATCTTTTTGAAATAACGGTAATTAATACTACTCTTGACATAAAAAAACCGTCTAAATTTTTTAGATACATAACACATTCGTTGTTATGTTGTTTTTAATACATATAACCGAAAAAACGGTTTTAGAACTAGCGACCCAAAAGAATTTATTCATTTTTTTATGTCATGAGTAGTGTTAATTATTATTATTTCAAAGACATGAATTTTTGTTTTTTACGAAACCATATTTTTATATGAAAACGTATTTTTTAGAGACATAAAAAAAAATATTTTACGTAAAATAAATACATAAAAATACATACAAATTGTTTGTAAAAAACTATTTTTTTTATAATACGGCTAAAATACATTTTTCTTTATTTAAAAAAAATTATATAAAAAAAATTGTTTTTTGTAATTTATTTATTATTTAGGTATTAACGTTTTCGTTATTATATAAAATAGTTTTCGGAAGATATAATTAAATGAGCTTCCAATTCAATTGGTAAGGGCTCTTGTGATATAAGGGGGTGGAGGTCTCGAGTTTGAGCCTTGCCCCCTTCTTCTTTAAGCTAATTATTTCACTTTTTCAAACAAATTTCGAAAGTGGTCCCTGTGGTTTATCAAATGTCACGAATTCAGTCCCTTTATACTTGAAAAGACGAAAATGCCCTTACAGTTTCAGTTCCTAACGGCTCAATACTAATGGTGTTAGTAAAAATGGTCATCTTTGCAAGTTTTGCAAACCACAAGGACCATTTGCATCAAAAAAATATCAGCAGAGACTGACTTTGTGACTTTTGGCAAACCACAGGGACCATTTTTGTAATTTTGTCTAATATTTTTGTATCTTTGTTTTTTTGGATAACCAAGAAAACCTAATACAAACCAACTTTATTGGTCCACAAAAACAAAAAAATTAAGACATTACCAAAAGTTAAACTTTTGTTTGTTATGTATTTCAGTATTTCTGATCAAGAAATTTCAGAACAGTTTAATAAAATAGTTCCCAAATTTAATTTCTTTACCAAAATCAAATCATTTGCAGATCTCAATAAAAAAGGTGGACACTTTATAATACCCACTGATGAAATCAAAGTAAATAAATTATCAAAAAAACATTTATGAAATTTAATTTAATAAACTAAACACATCAACTTTAGGTGATAAAGAATGTGTAAAATTAAAATACCATAAAGCAAAATATTTGATGATAGAAATGATAAAAAAACTTTCTTATTTCAACAAATAACAACAAATTAATCAATTATACATCGAAGATAACTCATGAGAAGCTGACATATTCTTATAAATTTCAAGCATCAACCTACTCTCGAACTTATCTTTAGATTCTGCAATCTTCGATTGATGAGGTTTTGATTTACTTTTCATGCCACCATCCGCCACCTCATCTACCTGATCATGTTCATCGGAGCCTCCATCCAAGTGGAACAACTTCTTGATCTTCCATAACCGACCATGGCGGCTTTCTCCAAACTTAACAGTTTTCATGTCTTTCCGGTGATCAGGACTTCCGTCAATTTTCCCGTCGTAGATCTTCCTCCTCCAAGCCTTATTGATATCAACAGTTGATGTCGAAAAGCTTCTTGTTAATCTCTCCATTTCCCTGAACTTGTGTTTGTTGTAAAGAGAAAAAGAGAGAGAGGTATGGAATGAGAGAGAAAGGTTATTTCGGCGAAACCATTTTGATAATTATATAGAGATTCGAAGGTGTGCCACCTTTAAAATGGGCTTTTGAAAATAGTCATGTATAGATTTTAAAACTAAGGTATTTTTTAGATTAAAAAACTAGTAATTTAGATTATTATTGACAAATAGGACCTAAGAATAAAGTTAAATAATTAAAGTTCTGAATTTGAGTTTACTTTTTTATAGGTTTGCTGTATATAAGACTATAAGTTAGTCCATTTAGGCTGAAGGACTAAAGGTTATTAAGTTTGATATTAAAATATTAAAATTTAATAATAGATTATATATGGATATATTAAAAGTAAAGAGGTTGAGCATGTCATCCAAATCTATTTGTATAGTATTATTGACCATTTTATATGGTGGATATGCAAGAATGTCATTTTTTTTAAAAGCAAATTTCGACTTAGTTGAAAAATGAAGTTGGGAAGTCGTTGTCCATTAATATAATACCATTAAAGGCGCACCATTATTTTGACTGTTTATCATGTTTAAATAAATTAATAATTAATATCACTTTAGATGTTGCCACGAGTACATTTATGATCTAATTACATATGTATATATAACTAACTATCTAGAACAACCGTAGAATAATTATATTATTATTATATTTCCTATATTAATTTTTCTCCGTATATAATAATATATATTTTTTAAAGTTGTATAATATAATATTTTAAAATATAAATTATTATGAATAAAAAAAATTATTAACTACGAATTCACTCTTCTTTTATATAACCATATTATATTTTAATAATTCTAGGTAATATAGATAATGATACTGAACGTCCTACACAATTGATTTTTGATTTAAAATGATTCTATGTGTTATGTATGATTAATTTTATAAAGGACCTTATATTTTATGTTTTTTTTCTCGATTAAACTTTATATTTATTTTTTTTTATTTGAAAAAAACCTTATATTTTTTTCGATTTGACTATTTTTTTTTCGATATAACCTTTTTTTTAGAGTTATACAAATCTTAAATCCACCTTTATTTTCTTTTATTAAAATATGAGATTTTTATTTTTTTTATTAAGGCATTGTATTTTCAAATAAAACTAGTTAATGTTAGAAGATATTTTACTATTTTTTTCTATTGTCGGCCTTATTAATCTTCACATGTAATTAAATAATATTCATTAAATATTATTAATATAGTTGATGATTTTTCTAAATGGGAGACTGTTGAAAAATAGTGTCAAAGATAATTAACTATTGATAATATTTTTGATAATACCATAATCTTTTTGGGTTGCCCTCATGACCCATTTGAACATTTAAAAGACAAAAAAAAGAGAAATTATCTTATTAATTTGTGATGTTTTGATAAATTAATTAAAAACTATTTAGAAATTAATTTGGAATTAATTAAATGGGGTTGATTGTTAATTAATTAAAAGTTAATTAAGCGGAACATTCCAGAACCCTAAGGGATAACGTGGACTGTTTTGGATAAGGCTTATCCAATGTATTTGATTTGCTTTAGGGGTTAAGAAACTAGAACCTATAAATATAAAGCTTGGGATTAAACCCTTCTAATCATAAGAAAAATTCGATCCTCCCTAACTCTCTCGTTCTCTCTCCCTCAAAGTAGAAATTCTTAACCATCTATAGGGTTTGTAGATTTTTGATCCTAGCCTCCCCTCTTTTAGGGTTTTTTCATTTTGCTATTTGGTGTTCTTAGGTGTGAGCCATTAGATAGATTCTAGTTTGGGTCCTTTCATCCAAAGCAAAGTGGTAAGAACAAGATCACAAACAAGAAGATCTCTAACTGCAAAAGTGGTATGTGTCTGATTTCTTATCTCTCTAGTAGTTGTAAATAGTATTATGTAACTTAGATCATAATAGGTTGTAATAAATCATGTATTTCGGATGCCCTATTACGCAACATAAACTTGTAATAAATCACCAATATATCACTACTTCACCATTGAAATGGTTGAATTTATATATAATGATGGAAATAGGGAACTAGAACCATAATTTATGTTCTATGGATCAAAAGGGCAGCGGAGATGAGTCGTGATTTTGGCCAAATCAACGAGCTTGTTAACCCAGATTTGATCGAAGAACAAAGGAGGATCAAGCAACTAGAACGTGCTAATCAAAGGCTGTAAAAACAACGAGTTAAAGTCAACAAAATAAGTTATCAGGTAATCCTTTCAAACAGTGTTTTTAGTTGATTATTGAACCTTGGCAGTGTAGTGAAAAATCGAAAGAATGGTTCCGTCAAAGTATCAAACAACGGTTACCGTCAAGGAGAGCAACACCATGTCTCTTTAATGTCTAGTGTTGTCTTCAAAAAATTACACAATATGGACTATAAGGATGTGGGTTATTTTTAATGTTCATGGGTTGTGGGAGACAATCGAACCAAGAGTCGGTGTGGATGCTAAGGAGAATAACATTGTCGTAGCACTTTTGTTTCAAGCTATCATGATGTAACATTCGAGATTGGGTATGTTTCCTTTTTAACCCTTAATGCAAAAATATCCATCATTTAAGTCCCTAGCTAGTACGTGGGCGTACTCTATAAGTACGCTTAGCATACTAGCTCATTTTAGGATCACGGGTTCACCTACATACACGAGGCGTACGTGGTAGTACGCAGGGCATACATGATGCAGGGGCAAACCCTAAATTTTAGGGTTTGTGTCATATTTAAGCGACTTTTAACACCCTTGGACTTCTATTGAACAACCTACATCACTCTATACCATTATATCAAAACCCTAAGTGTCATTTGTGAGTTTTGAGCTTGAAAATGAGTTTTGGTGGTGTTTTTGGTGAAGTAGAAGAAGAAGAACACTTGGAGTTGCTTGGGAGTGGCTTGAGCTTGTAGATCTAGAGTCATATTCATCTTAGCAAGTGATTTGAGGTAAAAAGTTCTCATCTTGATGGTTCTTTGTGCTAGATCCAACTTAGGGTGTTATTTATGCATATTTGGGTTTTTTAAGCCATATTTGAGATTATGGGCTACTCCATAAGCCACAGATGTTAGATCCTAGCACATTTAAGGTCCCTTGTCCATAAAAATGTAACCTTTATGAAATATTTTGGTCCATGCATGTGTTAGGTTCCTTGTTATAGTTCTCTTTGAGTTTTGGGTCTTATTAAGACATACATGGGAGTAAAGTTGCCAACTTTACATGTTAAGTCACCACTTAGGACTAGATCTGAGAGTTTGGCATGATGGCTTAACCAGTTAAGTGCTTACTAAGTTGTTTTGGTTGTCTACAGAGTACGCGGGGCGTACCCAGCTCGTACGCTATGCGTACTATCCCCGGAAGGAGTACGCTAAGCGTAAGCCTGAGTACGGCCAACGTACTCAGCTGTTTGACTTTTGAGTTGACTTCCATGGGTTTGGGCTTTATTTTGGGCTTTTTAGGGTTTGGGTCTTGTTTGTCCATTGGATTTCTGACTTTGGGCCATCGATAGACTCTAGGATTTCTTGGAATTAGGTCCATGATGATTTTTAGGCCCAATTAGAAAGTTGGGCCATATTGGGCCTTGGGATGCCAATTAGGAATTTGGGCCTCTTGAGAAAATGGGTTGGGATTTGGTTTTGATCCAAGTAAGAAAAGGGTAAAGTGGTCTTTTACCCTGGATGTTGGATAAGTAATTTAGACTCTTGATTATGGGTCGAGATCCAATTATTGATTGGATATTATTGATGATGTTAGCATGACGGTTTTCTAGATCAGTAGACCAAGATTTTATCTGAGAGATTCAGCAGCTTGAGGTGAGTTTCCTCACTGTGTTTGGCGGTTCGAAGGCACCAATGATGGCCTATGATTTGATATGATTCGGATGCTAGTTGTCTGCGTTATTATTGCATGTTTGTTATCAGATATGTATATCAGGCAGAGCCTAATGACTATATTGTATGCTATTTATCTTTATGATTCTTGCATGTGTTTATGTGTTTGTATGTTTACCAGGCATGACCCGATGCTAGGCGGGCCTGATGACTGACAGATCTGTTCCGAGCGGGGCTCGTTGTCGGGCGTGGCCCGATGACCGGGAGTGGGGGCATTATATGCTTGATGTATATGATATATGATATTTTTGGGAACTCACTAAGCTCTGTGCTAACGATTTTCGATTTATGTTTTATGTACTTTTGATTCGAAAGGGAAGAGCTCAGGATGATTGCACTGCACACACCACATTGTTTTGCATCTTATATGACTTTGATTGTACTTGGATGTTATTTGGTATACTCTGATTTTACTATAGTTTTATGATATCGTTATGGATAATGGTTTTATTAATATAAAAGTAAAAAATTTTGGTCAATTTTTGGGATGTTACAAGTTGGTATCAGAGCCTTGGTTTGAGGGATGCAGACACTCTCTTGGGTGTGTCTGAACTCAAACTGAGGATTTGGTAAATTTTTCTAAAAGAAACATTTTATACAAAGGGATTTTCTAATAAAAGAAAGGGTGTGGTGCGTGCAATCGACCGAGCTCAAGTAAGTTTTCCCAAAATACCCATACATCTTCTATGATATGCTTGATTTGTGAATATGTGAATCACATGATAGATTAGGGCTAAGGATCTATGAGATATGCCTTTGTATGCCTGCTATATGAGCTTGTAGACTTGCATGCTAGTACCGATCAATCAGTGATAGGGTGGCCTGTTTAGGTTATGTTTGATTCCGATTACTCAATGCTTGAATACTGCTTGCTTTGTGCTTTTTAGGAGTTCTCATTAACTTTAGCTAACTAGTAAGAAAATATTCTAAGTTACATATTATTGAGACTAAATAATTCTAGAAGGTTAGGTTTTAACTCTATTACACAGCTTTTGTTTGAGTCCAATCGTTGTAGTGTGAGACCTTTCATTCAAAGAATTATCTGGTGTCATTAATATGTAATTGTATTTGTGATATAGTTAGAGGGTGTTAGTGGGAGCACTTTCTGCAGCTGATGGCGGAGAGTGGCGTGGTGATTACCCTAGGAAATGCTTAGGAAGAGATTTAGTGTTGGGAGCCTTGTCTTATTGAGGGTTGTATGTATGGATAATGAAGTGACTTGGAGCACTACTAGAAAACAGACCTTTAATGACGCGCTTTTTACGACACGCACTGATTAATGATACGCAAAAGGGCGTGCCCTAAAAATAATGTCAGATCTTTAGAAATTTGAAGAATTTAGGACGCACATTTTTGCATGCCCTAAAATTAGTGTCTCACAAAAAAAAACCACAGAGGGCGCTTATTATAAAATGCACGTCATCTAAACATGTCGTTTTATAATTTTTTTAATGAAACACGCGTTTTTAGTCGGGGGGAAATGGCATCCCAAAAATTAAACCCCCAGCCTATTTGCTCCTCTCTAAGTCTCCCTTGTTCCCTCTACTGATGCCTCCGCCTTCTTCCATCAATGCTAATCTTTGAAATAGCTAGAAAGAAACCCTAGGGCCTTCATCTTCACCTACATCCAGCACCTCCAACCCTTCTTCATTCGTCCAACACAACCCGGGCTTTAATCTGCAAGAAAACCTCCAACTACATCCTATACATGAAAAAAAACCCTAATTGGCAGCCACATGTTGACGTCAGGTACCCTTGAGATGAAAAAGCCTCATTTTGATGTAGAGATCCCCTTGGGCTCTTATGTTAGGGCTGATTTCTCATACATTTAGTTCTTACGTCCCCTCTAACCGAACCCTTAGCATCCCAAAATAACCCTAATATTCTGTTCGTTTGTCTTAGTGGCTAGAGAGGGAGTTGTTCAAGTTTTTGTGTAGGGATGTCGGATCTTTGAGTCACCGTAGAGGGAGAAGACGGAAGAGGACCTCAAGACAAACTTCAGAAGTGGATACACAACTGTCCTGGAGAAAGAACTGAAATCAAAGCTTCCTGGATGCAATCTCAAAGCCAGTCCCCACATCAAATCAAGACTCAAAACCTTAAAGAAGCACTGTGATGCAATCACAGATATGAAAGATGCATTTGGTATAGAATGGAAAAGTGCAGATTCCAGATTAATATGCTATGATGATGATGTATGGGAAAATTGGGTGAAGGTAAACCATCTATGATCTATCCATCTAAATTCTCAAACATACTTAACGATTCTCAATCTCATTTTCATATGTTTCTATTTTTGGCGTTGTAGGATCATTCAGATGCCAAAGGCTTAAGAAATAAGCCATTTCCTTACTATGACGAGTTGTGTCTGATATAGCCCTGTGAGTGCAGTTCATAGTTACCTAATTCGCTCAGATGGACACGAACCCATACCAATTCGTTTCGTACCCAACCGTGGTACGAAAGCGTTCCAAACGATTTCCGGATCGCAAATCGGTACGGTGTCGAGATAGTTCCAATCGATACCCTGAATGAGTTTGATTCAGTAATCCAATAGTTCCAAAACGCGATTCTGGGTTTAATTTCTGAAATTAGTATGCCGATTTCTGATTTTGGAATGCCGATTTTGGAATGACGGGAAACTGCCGACTCTTCCACAACGAATCTTAAAGACTCTTAATTCTTCTGATTCATTTAACTATCTTACACACTAATGTTCAATTTCTTATTCCGACTACTATAAAGTTGTATATAATACTCAATTTTTAAATCATCTTCTACAATAATTGTTAGTGTAGTCTGTACTACTTTTCCAACTTTCGATTTCTACAAATGACACCATATCTTTCTTCTCTACTACTTATTTTCCCATATCTATAGAGTCTTTTGACTTCAAAGAACACAATAAATGAGTGGATTATGAGCATAAGAGCATTGAATATTGATGTGACCACCATGCGATTTGAAGGGAGTAGAAAGAGGGGCAGAACAATCTTTTCAGATTATGCTTGGTGTAGTGGAGATCAAGTTGATGTTTGGGTACAAGATAGGTAACCATTTAACTCAACTCGTTACATTTTCATTCGTTAAAACTTATTAATCATCACAAACTGTATTTTTTTTACCCTTTTTTTAGCTGGCATGAAGCAATTGTTGTGGACACAAATAAGATTGATTTAAGTTCTTTAACTGCCCAGTTTCCTGGTAGGTATTGTTATCTGACTTTTCCTTCAAAATTTATAAACTGTGCTGAAATTTTACCTTTTTGTCCTTTTCCAGCTCAAGGAAAGACATCAATTGTCAGGTCATGGCATGTGAGGCCAACTCTTGTCTGGAAGGATGACAAGTGGATTGAATGGTCCAGTTTGAAAAGACCATTTATGTGGCCCTAAAGGGTATAAAAGAGGAAATTTGGTGAGTTACTTTAGTGATATATTTACAGACATTAATTACATAACATGTTTTACTTGATGTTTTTTTTTTTCTGAATACAGATCTTGGTGGAAGCCATTGACAATGGTGGTGGATGTAGAAACGATGTTCAAGAAAACGGGTTTGCTAAAAATGAGTCAACAGGACTTGTAGAGCCTTCTAAAACTAACAACAATTCAGAATTGTCACAACTTCAGAATTTGTCTTCTGCAATCAAAGAATCAGAAGATAAAACACAGACACAAACACAGACACCTGTCAGTGTTGGTGTTAGTACACGTGGCTCTTCTGGTGGCCTAACTGGCTTGCTGAATTTTGGAAACACTTGCTTTATGAATAGTGCTATTCAGTGTCTTGTTCATACATCAGAATTTGCTAGATATTTTAGAGAAGATTATAACCAAGAGATCAACTGGCATAACCCTTTAGGAATGGTGGTAAGTTTTAACAGAAACTATTATTTATTATTTTGTTTTTTTTTATAATACTGGTTTTTTAATTTTTAGGGTGAGTTAGCTTTAGCATTTGGTGAGTTACTGAGGAAGTTATGGGCACAGGAAGGACTCCATTTGCTCCAAGGCAATTCAAAGCAAAGCTTGCTCGTTTTGCACCACAATTTAGTGGATACAATCAGCATGATTCACAGGTTTGTTATTTGTTTCATTTAGCATTTAATGATATATATATATATATATATATATATATATATATATATATATATATATATATATATATATATAGAGTTTATGTTTTAATGTTTATTTCAGGAGCTTCTGGCATTTTTGCTTGATGGATTACATGAAGATCTAAACCGTGTGAAACACAAGCCTTACGTAAAATCCAGAGATGCAGATGGTCGACCTGATGAAGAAGTTGCTGATGAATATTGGGCCAATCACATTGCTCGAAATGATTCAATAATTGTGGATGTCTACCAAGTAAGCATCATCAATCATCAATTTTCATTCAACACTTGTTAAATAAGATAATTTGATGGGTTTGTTTGTTTGTTGAACAGGGTCAATATAAGTCAACTTTGGTTTGTCCTGTATGTGAGAAGATCTCGGTTACATTCGGCCCATTTATGTATCTCTCATTGCCACTTCAATCAACCACCACCCGAGTAATTCCTAAATTTTGCTATTTTTGTTGCCAATGATGGTCCTAATTCCTTATTATTTTGACCTTTTTAGCCTTGTTTCTTTGTTTGTTTTTCACTTATCACTGCTTTCTTTAAACGTTTTGGTCATGATTATGTTCTTAATTAAGAATTTAATTTATAGTATACATGAGGATTCTATTAAATCAAGTTTGTATTCCTGTAGAGTGCTATTGGGGAGGGTATGACTCGTCGAGACCATTCTGATGTCTCTAACCAGGTAAAATTTGTCTCCCTCTTTGTTATGTCTGTAATGTATACAAACCACCCCTACAATTGGAATACAATTCCATTCCAATCCTGCATTTGGTTTGCTACTTCAATTTGTTACAGATGTTTTCTCCCTTCTAAAAATACTCAAATAAACTTGTATTAATCATATGTTACTTTTATGTATATTCAACTATATGCAAATTATACCATTGGAAAAGATGTCTAGGCGATGAAAGTGGTGGTTGGAGAAGAGGCTCTCTCTTCTGAGGATTTGGTCTCTCTCTCTCTCTCTGTCACACACACACACATTCACGTTTAGATAATATAGTCAGTGATTATATATATATCTATATATATATATATATATATATATATATATATATATATATATATATATATATATATAACAAATTGTTTGTATAGATGGAATACATCTATATTTGGAGTTTCTTGACAAATTTGAGAGGAAATTTGTGGCTCAAGGGGCGTACGACACCAGAAACATCTTCCAGTCGCTTGATTTAGCATGGACACTTCTGCGGATCTTCCCCCGTGAACTTCTTCACCACATACCCGCCAAAACCCTTGATGCCTTCAACAATCATGAGGCATCCAATTGAAACACACAGGTTTTTGTATGACAGTCGATCTTTCAAGTTTTCCTTTGCCTCAAGGTCCCGCAGTGGATACAGGGAATCAAATCTAGCAAGCAATGAAAAAGGTATATTTGATACTTTCCCCCCTCTTCCCAAAAAGTAGTTGTGGTTTGACTTTATGGTCAAACCTATTGAAATTTTGCATCAAAAATTGGAATGGTTTAACATTTGTTATCTTACCCATTTTGTTTAGGTTTGGGCTTCTAAATGGAATGAAAGAGCATATAAAAACAGGAATCATGATACATTATGCATTGGTATTTTAATTCAAGAACATATTAGAGCTGATTATGCCTTTGTCACATGCACAAATCATCCTGTGTCTCGTGACTCTTCACAGATATACACAGAGGTAAGTCTCATATTTATGGCTGCTTTTGTTTAGGGGTATTTTCAATTATGAGAATGTGGATAATATCTAATTCCCTGTTGACACCTCATCTTTTTCAGCATGAAACAATACATTAACCTAATGTTTTTTTTCTAGGATGCAGCTTCTCGGGGAATTGCTGGTGTAGGCTTTGATGTTGTGCAATACGGGTAATGTAATTGTAATCATTTCATCATTTATTTTGATTATTTTCTTTTTGGGTGTTATGATCTTGTTAATTATTTTCAGTGATGTTTTTTGTAGATTAGCATCTACTCCAGCAATGTTCAATAGTACACTGACAAAAAATGAAGACTTTCTATGTCCAGTTAATGGAGCTATCATGATAACAGCAATCCATCTATTGGTGAAATGATGGAATATGATGCGCCCTCCAAGCTAATGGAGTCGGATTCTTATTTCTCAAAGATTGTTGCTGAGTACTGGTCCAGCTGCAAGAGATGATCCATGGGTAATTTCTTTTCAAGTTAAAAGTAAAAGTAAAATTTCTTATTATTCGTTATATGTATATATGTATATATATGTGTATATATGTATACACATATACATATACCTGTTAATTCATTATTCTTTATGAAGATTTGAACTTGATAGTAGATGATAATAATGGAAATCTGGAAGAATAATATGCAAGTTATACAAAAATTTCAAAAGGGTATTTTGGGTATTTGGTAGTAGATATTAATCCACAAGATCTTTTTGTTAAGAATATATGATGTTTGTATCGTTTGTAGAGAGTTTAGGGTAAACCTTATCACATCTCACATTTGAACACTTTTAGCATTTGACTCTTTAGTTATCGTCAATCATCATAATTTTATGGTTTTAGGTTAAAGGATCTGAAATATTAATTTATGGTGTGAGTCAAGTTATTTTATTATTGGTGCCTTTTGTATGTCAATTCAGCAACTTGTCTGCAAATTCTGAAATTTGTAGTAATTTTTCTCATGTTTATGCTAACAATGGTGGACAACACTAAACAAATTTCATCTAGGATGTTTTTCAAATCGACTACAGGTCCTTCAACTTCAAGCTTCTTATTTGTACCGATTTGCCATGTGTAGGTTCTGACAGCTCTAGCAACCTCCTTCCATGCCCTGTAGCCTCTCAAAGTTCCTGCATCCAGGTTATTCTCTTAGAAAGGAGATTGTCAAAGGAGAATTTAGTCATGAGTTTCTTTTAATATTGTACATGTTTTGTTTTCTATAATAAATATTATGCAATATTAGCAATGTGTTACATTTACTTACCATTGGAATGATTATTTGTATTTAACATATTAGTGCAATGAATTATCTTTATTGTTTATGGTATTTTATTTTGTATTATGAGACTTTTAATGTGTTATTTAATTTGAAAATTAGTAAATCTATCAGAAATATATAATTTTAAAAACATTTAAAATTATGACACGCAAAAATGCGTGTCGTCTTCCTTTATGACAAGGGCTTCCTTGATACGCATTGCGTGTCATAAACATGTGCGTCGTAAGGTTACAACACGCAAATGCGTGTCGTCTTCCTTTATGACAGGGCCTTCCTTGATATGCATTGCGTGTCATATATATATATATATATATATATATATATATATATATATATATATATATATATATATATATATATATATATATATATGTAAAACAGTGGTCATACGAGGAGGATCCGACAGTGGTTCGGGTTCGGGCTTTGGAGCCGGACAGTTGGACTAGTAGACGCGGGAGTTCATTCGTCCGTGATTACCCACAACATACTTGAGAAGAATACTGTGATCTTTGGTACGATCATGGAGGGTATCATGGAGGTTCTGGAGGAGCGCTTGGGCTCTGTCCGTTCTGAGATGGTTGCGTTGATGGGAGCTCGCACGTTGACCTTCCGTGAGTTCTTGGCATGTGGGGCTCCAAAGTACTTCGGGGAGAAGGATCCGATCGCGAGCAAAAGATGGTTAGAGGATTTCGCTAATGCCTTTCATACTAGCAGTTATCCCGATGAGGCAAAGGTTAGACTTGCTTCCTGTCTTCTGAAAGACAGAGCTCGAGATTGGTAGGAGGTGGTTGGACGCGATGTAGGGATGAGGAGGTTAATTCGTTAACATGGGATGATTTTTGTGAAGAGATTTTTGAGCTGAGTTTTCACTGATGATTGAGGTGTAGGAGTTAGCGAGGGAGTTCCAGAACCTTCACCAGACTACTGAGACGGTGACTGAGATCACTGCGTTGTTCTACGAGAGGGCGTTGTTGTATCCACAGTATGTTGCTGATGAGGAGATGAAGAAGGCGAGATACCATGAGATGTTGAGGAGTGATATCCGACAGTTTATGAGCCAATCCAGTTGCAAGACATTGGATGATATGATAGTAAGGGCCAGGGAGAGGGAGATCGATCTAGAGATGGAGAGGAAGAGGAAGCCAAATCAGGCTCAGGGTTCAGGGAGTTCGGGAAAGAGGCCCAAGGAATTTGATTCGAGATTGAGAGGCCAGTAAGGCCGGAGCCACTGTGGAAAGTGCAGCAAGACTCACAATGAAGCGTGTATGGTTGGTGGTTCTGGCTGCTACAAGTGCGGCCGGACGGGTCATATTAGTAGGGATTGTACTGCTACTACCACCACTACCCGGTATCTGATCTGATATGCTTCCATTGCAATCAGAGGGGACATAAGAAGGATAATTGTCCGAGTTTGGCAACAGCAGGACCAGTGGTAGAACCCGCTCCAACGACTCTACAGATTACTGATGAACGCTAGGGCAAGGTGGAGGTGCCTGTTGTGAGGAGAAAAGATTTTAATCTGATAGCCGAGGAGGCTCACGCAATGCTTGATGTGGTGACGAGTATGTATTTTCTCCTTATCTCTTTTCTTATGTTGATTTCTCTGCTTATGTTTATGTGTTTGTTATAGGATCGTTCCTCGTGAACGGTATCTCTACCTTGGTATTGTATTATTTGGGGGATACCTAATATTTTGTGTCTCTTACTCTCAACAAGAGGTTTGTTGGAGCTCTAGAGGAGTTGGATTGTCCATTAGAGGTTAAGATTGTAGATGATCGATCTATTTGGGCATCGAGGGTTCATCGGGATTGTGTTCCAGAGATGTTCAAAGAGCGGTATCCGATTGATTTGGTTCATATTCCTTTGCATGTGAACAAGGTTATTGCAGGGATGGGACTTGTTGAACCCCAATGGGGGTAGTGATTTGTCACACCCCCGGACCAGGCGGCGGAAACGTCCGGAGGCGGGTGACTTCATTGTGCAGTATCATAACAATTGAATATAAATGAAACAGAGCAATCCAAACATCAGACATTGAGATAACAAACTTACATGGTTTACATATTGTATTTGTTCTTCGAGTTACACAAAAGGTACATAAATGGAAAAAAAAATCCAAACTACAGCTAAATAGTCCAGCATCCGCGTCCCTTGTTACCTGCTTACTAGATCCCTGAGAATACAAGTCGTTTTGAAAAGCGTCAACTAAAAAGTTGGTGAGTTCATAAGCATTTTTGTATAAAATCGTTTACACTTGATTAGAATCGTTCTCATTGTACTTTCAGAAAATCCGATATTTTCTATGAAATCGTTTGAAGTCTTGCCTTGAAAATCATGGATATATGTGTGTATGTCATCACCTTCGTTCATCCTTGTAAGGAATGATTTTGAAAGGTAGTGTGATCTGTAAAAGCGAGCTGTGTACGAGAATAGTTCTTTTGAATAGTAATAGTCAACCGTTTCAAGAAAAATCCCTTATTTTCAAAAGGAAATATGGTTGAAAATCTTGTTCCTCTTATCGAGTAAAATTTAGTGTGCGTTCTAGTTCATCGTTATAGAAGTTGTAGAAAAATCGTTTTCTCCAGAAAATCCTATATTTTCTGCTATAAAATATTCGTAAGTTCTGGTTTATCGTTATCGAAATTGTAGAATATTAACAACGTTTTGATTTGTAAGTTCTGGTTTATCGTTATCGAAATCGTAGAAAATCATTTTCCATAGAGTCCTACGCTTTTTAATTTGTAAAATAGCAGTAATTCGATTCTATACTTGTTAGGAGAAAGGGTCAACATGGCAATTGTGGACATTCTACGTGATGAAAAAGGACAGTCAACACAACAAATGCGGACCATCACCTATCTCATGTAGGGCAGTCAACACAACAAATGTGGACCGTCACCTATCTCATGTAGGACAGTCAACACAACGTGCCAAAAGTTATTTATGAGGTTTTCCTTGCATAAATTTCTAGTTAATAACATATTCTAGTGAGTCGTTATAACCATACTAATCATGACGGAGGCCTGTGTTGGCGTTTCTCAAGCGCCCTCGGTTTGATGAAGACATTTGTCACCCTAGACTGGCCTGTCTAGCTGTAGCGAACAGCGAAGGTGCGGGGTGTCAACCCTGTATAGATCTATACACAAATTCCCGCTCTCCCTCCAGGTGACTCTGGCTATAACTCCTTACAGGACTTAGACGTACACTAATATTTTCATATTTAGGCACTTTTGAGATTTGTCTGACTAGAATATTAACAACCTTTTGCGCAATCATTAAGGATCCATTATTTGTTAGATAAATAATGAAATTCGTACTCATTGAATAGAAAGAAAAAAACCGTTCTCGTTCCATATCGTTGATTGTGCTCGTTAACTGGGTGCTTGTGTTTGTTCCTCTTCGTTTATTGAAAAATAAGTCATTTTAGTCAAGAGAAAAAGTGTGTTATAATTTGTATAAATTTATAACTGCCGATGATGACACGCATTTTCTGTTTATGACATATAGAAACATTACTTATGTTCTTGGAGGTTTTACGACAGGAGCTTATGACATGCAAATATTTCTGTCATAAAGGCTCTTTTTGTATATTTTCTTGACGCAAACTTTTATATTGAATATTTATAAAATACTCCCTGATAGTTTGCAAATAGTCACAAAGTTTCCATTTTCGAAAGTTACTAGAAATGGTGTCCATTTGTCAAGGTCCCCTTTTATAACTTATATCTCTTGACATGAAAACATAGATAAAGGGGTTAAGTTGGACACACCCAATAGTTGGGAGGCTCTTTTGTACACAAAGTATCCTCTGTTCTTGATGAGATTGTGAAATCTTACGTTCATGAGTATATTACTAAAATAATCATTTAATAACATTTCACACACACATGTAAACATACGTATACATGCAATTATTCAAGTATTTAGGAAAGATTTGACTTGTACTCTCCCCCAAAAAGCATTAAAATATTGAAAAAGGTGGGGTATGAAGCTCACCTTGAGTTAGTTGAGGAGTTGTTTGGAGTTATGGAGTGAAGATCTCAAGCTTAAACTTTTGGCTGAGATGAAGAACTTCCCTGGGAAAAATGTTTTCTTTAAGGTGATTATCACATATTATTATGAATAACATAATATGGATTCATCTTGAAATATTATAAAATATTAGATGAGTGGAGGAATTTACCTTACAATTTCCCAGGAAGAAGTTGAGAACTTCCTTTCAGCAAGATTCCTTGTTCTTGCTTTGGAGATGAGTATGTGAGAGAAGATGAGAGGAAATGTGAAAAGCCCAATCCTTCTACTGTCGTTCTTAAGAGTATAAGAAAAGGGAGGAATCTTTGGTGCATGGGAATCTGTTGGTCCATGCATGGATATTTGGTGGGTAAAGCATGGGATACTGTGATTTGCATGGGAAATGAGGAATTTCATCAAATCACAAAGTCAATCCCTTGTCCTTTTCTTGATTTAGGATAAGGTTTTCCTAAATCCCAAACATTTATTTTTATGAAAACTATGCTTAAAATAATTAATCTTAGCATAAAATAAGGGTTTTAGGGGTCTCAGTTAAGAAAAACATGAGTTTGGTGGGATTCCTGACGTCAAAATGCTCCAAAATGGAGAGAAGGTCCGAAATGTGCCATAATCCAGAGCTAAAAGGTGAAATCCGGAGTTCTATGATGAATTCCGAAGCTCTAGCACAACTTCCGGGGTAGAGCTTTAGGTATGCGAGGGTCCGAAGTTGTTGGCAAGAGGGTTCCGGAGTCAAAAGGTAAATTCCAGAGTCAAACAGTGCATTTTGGAGCTACTGCATAAACTCCGAAGTCGTTTGGTGGGTTCCGGAGGAAATACTCAAGTTCCGGAGTCAAGTCCATACTTCCGAAGCTCTTTTCTTGTTCCGGAGTGAAATTCCGGAGTCGGCTTTCAAGTTCCGAAGACGGCTCTCCTTACCAGAGTCGTTTGGCCAATTTCGTAGCCAAGGTGAAGACAACAT